CGCCCCCGGGGAGGGGGTTCCCAGTACCCCGTTCCCACCCCCATTCCCCGGGACCGAGAGTGCCGTCCCGAACCAGGGCGGTGTTTGGTCCCGACGAGCGACTCCCGGGTGGGGTGTAGGGGGGGGCGCCCCTCGGGGCCCCCCGTTCCCCCAGCCCAGCCAAGACCCAGTGTGGGCGTCCCGTGGCCATTTCTCCCGGGGGGGGGGGGGGGGGGGGGGGGCGCTTGTGGGGACCCCAAGCACTGCCGCTCTTTTATTTTCTCAGGTCCGCCACATGGCGTTGATGATGATAGCTGGCGAAAAAAATGTGCGCGAAGGGTTTTGACGGGTCGGTCCCCTGCTCTCTTGAAAAATCCTGAACCCTGCCTATTTTTTAAAAACTACTAAGCGGACACCTACTATCGTGAGTCTAAACCTAAACCGGGCAAATGCTACTACCTATACCAGGTCTATCCTCTCGTTTCAGTACTCACCCGTCTCTCTCCACCCTTCACACCTCGTTGATTGGAGCGCTCCAAAGTAACCCCGGAATTGAAAATCACAAGGTAGATAGAGGATGGCGGAACCGCCATCATTCATGTATACAAACGCCGAAGAAATGCTAGTATCCACGTACCAGACATTTGCTGCTATCATACTGCTGGTATGCCGCTGTTTTATTTACCATGTACCAGTACATTGTGCCTCTGGTCCTGTCGACAGTCAAAAGACACAGCAGTCCAATAATCAAATCGCGAACAATAAATACCCAATTGTGTCCCCCCCCCCCCTCCCATGAGGTAAACAAGGGTGGGCGGCGAGCACAACAAGAGGGCATGGGGTGCAATCTGCGCTAAGCACAAGGCGGGGAGACTCCCCCCCCCTAACCCACCAACCCAACCCAACCCGCCCCCTCCCATCGCCACCAATTGTTTGCAAACAAACACAGAAAACGAGCGGAGAAAATGAGGAGAATAATCCCCTCCCCCGCCCCCCCGGCAACACTTCCAGACGAGCGAATTTCCCGTCTTTTTCGCCGTTTGCAACGAAAACCGCAACAAGCAGCGTCCTCTGGAATACCAAAGCCGCGATTCAAACAAGGGGACACAAAACATCAGGAAACGCCAACAATAAAAAACGAACTTGTGTCGGGACACTGGTGAACGGATCGTTCTCTCTCGCACCTTCGTCTAGTTTAAGAGTCTCAAACAAACGTAGTGCCACCGTGCATTTCCCGCTTCTTCTACTTGCCGCTCCAGCAATTTACGACGTTAAGTGGGGGGGGAGGGAGGGGGGGAAGCTACTGCACTGGTTTGTCGCAACAGTCTCCCCTACATGCGCACACCTTTTACACGTACTGCTGCTACCCAAAAAAACAAACCCCAGCGCTTGATACTCCTCTCTCATTGACGTCTTGACCCCGACTTCCGTGAGGTCAAACACCAACAACCCTAGCTCGATCGTGCTCGCGCTTACGGTACGTCTTCATCCCTTACCGTACGTAGCCCTTCGTACAACACGCAGGAGCCCTTCGTACAACACGAAGAGGCCCTTCGTACAACACCCAGGCGCCTTTCGTACAACACGAAGAAGCCCTTGCGGCCCAACAAAGCGTACATATTCCGAAGGAAGGATTCCAGTCAAGACAGGGTTGCTTGCCTTGAGCCTGCACGCGGGGACCCAAGCGTGGTGGAACAAAAAAAAAGAAAAAAGGCGGTGGCTTCGTTTCGCAGCCAAGAACCCACGAGAAAAACGCTGCCGCTTCAACCGGTTGCAAATCGCGGGCAGAGACAGGACACAGCAGCTGTACTTGGTACGTCCTCTGTTCGGAGCGACGCCCGTCTATTCGCGAGCCGTTCGTTCGTTCGTTCGTTCGAGAGAAAAAAAAAAACCCGATGAGCTCGCTTCTCTCTCACTCTCTCTCGCTCCCCAGTCTCTTCACACGCTCGTAGGGTCGGGCATCCGATTCCCGATGAATGTTCACCAAGAATCACGGGAACGATGCAAACCGAAATGAGGTTCATCCACAGAGAACCCCCCCCCTCCCCCCCCCCCTTTCCCGTCCATACCCCCGAAAACGATACTTGCGTAAAAAGGTTGCCGTTCAGACAGAGCACCCGGAAGCGGGTTATTCCGGGAAAGGAAAGGAAAGGAACGGCGCTCTCCGCGTCAAACACGGACAAACGCGGCCGATGATCGAAGGATACAAACGCGGCAAACGACAAGCCAGTGAACGCCCCCCCCTGGCGCGATTCCTTCCTAAACCACTCCCCCTGAAACCTCCGTGCCACACGGTTGCTGGTCTCAGCAGCCCTGAGGCAAAAGACGCCTCCGCCGACCGACGAACTCCCATATGGGGAAGACCGGAAAACAAGAAAAAGAAGAGACGGTACGGTACAACAGCCTTGAGTTGTCATGCTCTCACTCTAGTACAATGTACTGGCCTTCTGAAGGTGGGCATGGAAAAAGCGAGGCCGACGGGCCTCGCATCACTCGAAAGAGGCAATTCTTGGTGTCCGTGCTGCGCATTTACATGCATTCCGCGAACAACGCTCGAGAAGAAGCAGCATGCACACTGCTCGAAAATTCCAATGATCAAGCTGTTGATTGAGTACAACCAAGGGCTAAAGAGGCCGAATCCACCGCCCCGACGGGGAGGCCAAGAGAAAATCAAACATCACCTTCTACACAGCAATACCTTTCATTGAACTTCCGACGCAAAACGAGCACACAGCGGGGCGGGGCACTAACCGAGCCCCCCTCCCCCCCCCCCCTCTCCCCCGCCTCAACAGGCACCACACGACACACACACAAAACTATAAAGCCCTTATAGCAAGTAAAACAGAAGACACCAAGGCCCCTCCTCCCAATGTTGGACTGGTTCAGCTCCGCTCTCGCATCATCTATCCAGCCTCTACAGCTACTTGTACAGCCGAAAAAATGACCACGCCGCCCCCCTCTACTCCCGTGACAGAAGACATCATCAGCTCGCTAATAGTTGTACAGACGAAAGCCCGCCGCGTTTAGCATCGCGGAAACAGCCCAAGGCAGCACCAACAACACCCGTCCTCCTCTCCCCCCCCCCGCTATCCTGTTCGCGGCCCTCCCTGAGCTCGTGGTCGTATCGGCGTCGGCAGCCCCATCCACTTCGCTCACTGTTTATTTTGTTCGGTCGATCGATCGAGCACGGTCGGATAACGGCAGGAAAACAGAAAGAGAAAACAGCGGGGGTGGGGTGGGGGGTTACCTCGTCGTTGCCATGCTTGCCGGTGGTCATCAGTCTCGAGACTAGAGTTATATCGTGGGGCTGCATTCGTTGGCGTGATGGGAGGCGCAGACGGCGGAAAGGATCCAAGCGCAAAAGTGCTCATTCATACAAAAACCCGAAACATCAAAACTCTAAAAAAAAATCACGCGCTCCGTCACACACGACAACATCGCCTCGCCCCTCTCTCCACACCCCAAAAAAAGCCGGAGAAAAGCCACGCCGCGTGCTGTAACGTACCCGGGCCAAGGACGCACGGCGCCTCCCCCGTCTCGCTGCACGAACTGTTGGTGGTGAGGACGTCGTGCGAGCAGCACTCCAACGCGCCTCCCTCGAGGTACTCGCACCCCGTCCCGCCGCACTGGCCGCACGAAACCGAGCAGCACGCCACCCCGTGACGAAAGCCTTCGATGCCGTCGGCACACTCTGGGGTGGCACCACATTACATTCGCGCGGGGAGAGATAACGGGGGGAGGTTTGCATGTTTGTAGAAGAGCGTCGGCGAGACGAAAGAACCGGGCGGGGCCGTCCCACGGGCACGGGTTGGGGTGTGAGGCACACGTACAAACGCTCACTGCACTTTCGTCCTGCCTCTTTTCACCGGTCAGCAGATTCCCGCGGTGAAATGCTACAATTTTTGTAACGACCAAAAGAGACGCTCCCCCCCCACTCAACACACCTGGAGTGCTGGGAGCTGGAGTCGTCCCCACCCCTCCCCCCACCGGCGGCGCAACGGACGGCGCCACCGACTCTTGCGGCGCCTCCGACCCCCCAGGAGACGACGTCGGTGTGCCGACGCCGCCGCGCGACACCGGGGACTCCGTCGCAACAGGAGCCGGAGGCGACGGCGCTTCCGTCTCCGCCACCGGTGCCGCAGGCGCGGGAGCCGCCGTGTCCGGTGACACCGTAAAGGGAGCCGCGGTCGCGGGAGCGGCGGTGGCCGGGGCCGGGGAGGTCGGGGCGGGGAGGGGCGCCGCGGTCTCGCCTTCCGCGAGGGGGGCCGGCGTGAAGTTGATGATGATGCACGGGGCCTCCAGGACGTCGACGCCGCAGACCTTGCCCGCGTTGATGATGTTGTCGAAGCAGCAGGTGGCCGACCCGAGTTCCCCGCACCCGGAGCCGCCTGCAACACGTGTGGTGGTCGGCGTGCGGGCGCTTGGTGTGGTGTGGTTTTGTCTCTGGGTCAACTACGGCACCTAGCATCGGAACCGCGCGCTGCTGCTGCTGTTGTAACCGGTTGAAACCAATGCAAAAACGTCAGTCTCAGTGCGGAAAAAAAGAACGGAGAACGCTTCTCTACTAAGGGCCGTGGTCTGGGACCCCCGTGTGTGTGTGTGTGTTTTTATTATTAGCATCGACCGCGCTAACCGGCTGACCAATGAAAAGACGTCCGTGCCAGCGGGTAAAAACAAGGTCCCTCCCTTCAGGGGCCAAAATTCGAAAAATGCGCAATGCGCTAAATGCGAATGCCAATACGATTATCTCTACATTACATATTCTTTCACAGAGACACACATCTCAGCTACACGAATGCCCATGCCCGAACCTTGTGTGTGTGTGCGAGAGAGAGCGAGAGTGACGAGGGTTAGGTTGTGGGTGTGTGGGCGGCGTGCTTCCCGTGTGGACGGATCGGCAGGGGAGACATGCGACCAGGAAGCAGCAACATCGACAGCAGCAACATACACACCCGTGCATGCATGCACAGACGCCGTCTATCAAGGCCGAAATAACCTGCTTCGTTCCCAAGCTGTAAGAACCCCATTCTGCGGGGTCTACTGGCCAACAACTCACCCGACGCGAACCTCACAAACACAGTAAAAAAAAGGAACTTGTGAGAAGAATGAATGCTTTAGTTTTGTACTTTTGGGGCCGCCTCTCTGGGTGCTTCAAAATGCCTAGAACTCGTCTCCACACTGGCCCCTGCGCAATGCTCGACTACTCATTTGTGCTGCAGAAAAAAAATACTCACCGCACTGCCCGCAGAACTCGGAGCAACAGGCTTCGTTATTCTGCCACCCCGCGTAGCCGTTCTCGCAGTTTGAAGTGGCTGCACGTTCGCGTGGCATCGCACGTGTGGTTCATCAATATCACAGGAGGAGGAGGAGGCGACGCGGATGAGGAGGGGGAGGGGGGGGGGGGACGGTGGAGTTGGTGACGCGGCGGGTGGGGCTGGATGTGCCTTGTAGGTGGGTGGGTCAGTTGGGTCAGTTGGGGGGAGGGAGCTCAGAGCAAAGCATCGGGAAAAAAAACACCCGTACATTGTCGAGGGTTTCACTGAAACACGCCGAAAAGGCCAACCAAGATATCTTGTCACAACGAGAGTGGTCGAGGGCCCGCATGAGAGCACGAGAGGGCCGCGGGGTTCTCAGCACCCCGTCCTTCACACGCATACGAGAAAAGAACAAAACAAGAGCGGATGCATGGGCCCCAAGGCACGAGCCGACCCACTGGCACACGGTCCAATCGACTGCTGGAAAAAACCGACCCGCACCTCCACACGGTTTTTTCCCAATCGACAGGCCCGACGACTCGGAGGAACGACCGGGCTGGCGCAAAAAAACAACCACCACTCAAGCCCCGCACGATACAACTCTGTACCACACAAGCGCGAGAAAACACACTCACCGCCTGCGACCGGAGCAACCGGAGTGAACGAGCCCGCCACCGGCGAAGCGGTCGCGGCCGCCGCCGCCGGCGTCGCGACCGAGGGCTGGGCGCTGGGCGCGGCCACCACCACCGCCGCGGGCTGCGCGGTCGCCGTCAAGCTTTCCGTCGGCGAGGTGCTGCTCGGCGCGATAGTAGAAGTAGTCGGCGCCGCCGGCGCAGCCGTCGGCGTCGGCGTCATGGACGGAGTCGCCGTTGCGGCCGGCGCCGTCATGGACGGAGTCGCCGTCGGCCCCGGGGCCGTCGTCGTCATGGACGGAGTCGCCGTTCCCGCCGCTGGTGCAGCCGGCGCCGGCGTGGCCCCTTCCACGGCCGTCGGCGCCGGCGTGGCCGCCTCCGCCGCCGACGGGGTGGTGATGATGTCGGGGTCGACGATGCACGGGGCCACCCCGTCGTCGACCCCGCACGTGACGTCGCTGTCCAGGATGTGGTCCACGCAGCATTCCGACCCCCCTTTTGATCCCGGTGCAATGGACATTTTGGTACGCAGGCAGTAGTCCCCGGAGGGGGGGGGGGGGGGGTTGGTGTCAGTCCGTCACACCCCACAATCGCGGTGAGGTGAGGATCCAGTTGATTTGAACGGGTGAGCGATAAAAGCAACTTCGGACAACCGGGCGAGTGGAAGAGGTGGGG